CATCGATTCATGCGAGAGGTCTTCCGCGGTGTCGGTTTTTATAGTTCGTACCTCCTGAAGAAAACTTTCCAAACCAACAACCTTCTTTCACTATAACACCAAAAGCCATATGCGATTCCGACCAACATGCCCAAGCTGAATCAGAATTCGTACAGCTACGCAATAATGTCACTTGGTTGAACTCGATTTCAATGAAAATACAAAGTTCATTGAAGATGTTGATGAACTCATATCTTCATTTATCTTCTACGCCATTCATCTAAGTAAAAGGGAATATCTATCTAAAAACTAACAAGCAGTTTAAAAAAAAAAAATTAAATTTTGCTGGGATCAGCAGGTAACTACTTCAGTCACCTTACTTAACTTTCGAGTGTTGCTACAACAAAAATGGATCTTTTGAAGTGAGGCAACACAATAGTTAAATCAATATAAAATTCACAATTTGGGTGGCGTCGGTGGCGGTAACGGTTATCGTTAGCAAGGCGGCTTATCACTGAAGGGTCCCTGGTTCGAATCCAATCAAGCAGTCCTGAATTTCGACCAAACACAACTCTGTTTATCTAAATGTGCCTAAAAAACCGACACATTGGAGGTTGATATAAAAATGAAATAAAAAATCACACAATTCGAACTGTATTTGTCGATTAAACAGTTTTTTCCAATTGCTTATCCGACCTCTTAGTAAGCATCGAAGTTTTTCAACTGCGCATTACCACGCGGTTCATCGTGTCTCCCCTGCAATCTAGGTTATGGTTACAGTGGATGCAAATTCTGACGAAAACGTGTTGTTTCGAATTCATTACAACAATCAAATTGCATCGACTGTTTACATTGGACACGGCCTCATCGTTAGAATACGCAAGAGTACGAGAGGAGGTGTATGTCATTCAGATCGATTTGATAGTTCGTGCTTGCATCTGTGTTTTATATTAAGCGTTAATTAGATTAGTGTTCATTAGTACACGCTATTCCTGAAAGTTTCTTGTCACGTACGAAAATACTAAAAACAATTTTGGAGATTGGTTTGAAAAGCTGAAAACAACGTTTCGAACATTCCCTTATTATCCCGTGATGCAAATAACCGATTCGAATATTCTGCATCAACAACCCTTCAATACAAGATCCTCGAGAAAGTCCATCTTTACTGAAAGATTATGGTTCACTGACTATATACGACAGTTAGAACTCGCATACACTGTAACCGCTTCATTCTGACGGTTTTGAACGGAAGAGTTCTGACGCGAAGCCCGCTCGCCGCATCCAATGTAACATAATTTCAAAAATTTCTAGGAAACAGACTAAACCATATCACCCGCGGTCGAGGACCGCAAGATCCCACGTCGACTGTGGTTATGGCAGAGACGTAGTCTCCGTACCCTGGTCACCAAAGCACGCGCTTAGAAAGCCACATCGATTCTGTTGACAACTTGTGTCTCATTTGACCGCCAATGGACTTCGCGTCGGAAACCTAAAAACCCTATGTCCACTGGTTTCAAGAGAAAGACCATTCAACGTTATATACAAGCTGTATTTCCTAGAATGTATTTGTTAAAGGTTTTTTAATTACAACAGTTTCAGCCCACCTATCTTTGTTAACTACTTCTTTGCAAAGCAGGCGTTGAATTTCCCTGACATTGCTGAGTTCCGATTGTGGCACCGCGAGTAGGTAGAGTTCGTACCGAGAGAGATTGCAGAGGTGTGTAGGTCGGTGGGAGATGACACACTTCGCTTTACCTTCCCTGACCGTCAGTCACTCGGCGACACTTCAACTCCTCAGGAGAACGTGGGCCACTGATCATCGCCGGTTCAAGCGTTCCTTTGAGCATTTATGTTGATCCATGGCCATGATGGCCCAAGTGCCCGCCCCTCCCAATGATCACGGCGGCCCACCGCCATCTGACAACTCTTACGTTGCATGATTTTTGCGCAAATGTTTCGAAATTATTTCATTCGAATTGTGACGATCGCTCCGCCATTCGAGATCATTTTACTGCTCGGCCTGTAATTAATTAATGTATCAATGAATAGAGTCGGAATAAAAAATTGCTAATAGCTCGTTAATTTTATAAGGTTTCGTTTTCTTTACGTCATCAGTGACAATTTGTAACGTTGGCCGAAATATTATTTATTTAATTACATGTCAAGATATAAAACGCTTACGAAATATTAAAATGGTGTGTTCTACAAAAGAAATAATTAAACATTCATTTTCAAACTCCTTCATTGAAGGTAAAATCTCAAAATGGATTAACCTAAGTAAATCGTCATAATTACTAGGGCTATATAGCAAAACGGTCGTCTGCAATTTTTGCTCCTTAGCACAGTTAATTTAGAATTTTTACTATTAAAAAAACAGTATATAAACATCTAATTGTGTGTGATTAAAAACAGAAGATTAGTGATTTCTATTTTCGCTTCCTAGTCTGAATTTTTTTAATTGTAAAAAAAACTACTTATAAAGCGAATATATATATATATATATATATTCAGAACCATTTATTCAGGATCAATGTTTAGATGCACCTCGACACTACACGCAAGAATAGCACAATTACACAGAAGACAAACACTTTGAGCCCTGAAGATGATCTCAATAAAGATCGAAACGTTGGCACGATAAAGAAAATGTTTTTCTGAAACCTACATCACACCAGACCGCATCTCACGATTTCTAAATAAATATCGATTAACGGTCACTAATCACCACACACACACACACACACACACACGCGTTTAGATGCACCTTTTGCTCAGGATGAGTTGACGGCAGTAATTTCCGGGTTAAAGAAGGGCAAAACTCCTGGTTACGACAGGGTATGTTATGAGTTCTATAAATTTGCACCCGATATGTTTAAAGAAAAATTATTGCAATTTTTTAATTTCGTTTACAATACAATACCCGCGTCTTTCAGTCGGTCAATTATTTTTCCTCTCTTCAAGCACGGTGATATATATCAACGAGGTTCCCAATTATAGGGGTATCTTGTATAGATACAATCGCTAAGATATTTTCTGGTCTATTACTGCTGCGTCTTGAAACTTACATATCTAATAATCATTTATTGTCTGAATTTCAAACAGGTTTTAGACGAACCTATTGTACTGTTGACAATCTCTTCCTGTTGATAAATATTATTAAACTCCGTTCCTTGAAAGAGGTAAGAAGACATATTGTTTCTTTGTAGATTTTCGGGCAGCGTTTGACCGAGTGGACAGAAAAGCGCTTGTTTTCAAACTTTTTAATATTGGTATATCAACCAAATTCATAAACGTTATAAGGTCTCTATATTCAGGTTCTCAGTCTGCAGTACGTGGAAAAGAAGGTATTTCGGAGTGGTTTTATGTGAACTCGGGGGTAAGGCAAGGCTGTGTGCTGAGTCCACTTCTATTCTCATTATTTTTAGATGACCTGCCAACTGCTTTAGATTCTGGTATCAGAATCGGCCATATGTTGATTAAAGTTCTAATGTACGCTGACTATATTGTTCTCATCGCCGACAACGACAGCCAGTCTCCGAAGGAATATAAAACTTTTGGAATCCTACTGTCTTCAATGGAATTTATCGGTTAAACTAATTAAATCGAAGATCGTGGTATTTAGGAGGGGTGGAAGGCTGGCTGCTAAAGATCGATTTTTATTCGATAACAAAAAAATGGAAATTGTTAAGGATATAAATATATCGGTGTAACGCTATCCCCTCGTCTGTTTTTCAATTATCATATCAACAATAAAGTGTCTACAGCGAAACGGGCTCTGAACTGTATATGGCACGAGTTACTTTCCCAAAATTTCATTTCCCTTCCAGTGAAATTCAGACTGTTCCACTCAGTTTGCCGCTCGATACTATGTCACGCCTCACAAGTCTGGGGCTATGAAAAATTTGAACGCCTTGAAAAAACAACGTTTTTTCATTAGAAAGTTATTTGCCCTTCCCAAAACCACCCTGAATTTTATGATTTATTTAGAGACTAAAGTTGACCCGTTATTTTTATATACCTTCAAACTTCATTTTAATTACATCTGTAAACTCTTGAAACATCCTGATTACCTCTTTCCAAAATAGTAGCCCTGGAAGTCGTCAGTCGTGGCACATTGTGGTTTGAATGTTGGAATAGCATGTTAGGGATCTATCATGTGACTCATCATTTTCTATAAATAACTTGAATGAGTGGCCTTTGCAGTTTAAGGAAATTATAACAAAACTGAGTGTCAATTTCAGTGAAGAACTTCGTGAACAAGACAGATCAACCTCGCGCTTTTTATTCTATAAAGGAACTTTACCAAGATGATTTTAATATGTTTAACCTAACTAAGGACAGGCCTAAAGGTTTGTCATTGGTCGAGTTAAGGTGGTTATGCAAAATCAGAGGGGACCTCCTTTATCTCAATGGTGCACCTTTTTGGGCTAGAGAAAATGTATTTTGTTCATTATGCAATGACCAGGTTAAAGAATACATAGTGCATTTTATTGCAAAATGCACTATCCTATCGGAGATTCGGCTTCTGCAGCTAAATTTTGCTAAATTGAATGTGACACAGGTTATTGACTTACTGCTTAATGATTACAAAAATTTAATCAAATATGCTCGCCACGCCTGGCACTATCGCCAAGAGTTAATATTACAATTTAATTTTTGAATATTTTAAAGCCTTGTCATTCTAAATTCCTGGCCCAAATAATTTATATATCTATATTTATTGTAAAATAAACAAAGAACAAAAATTATTGTTTATAACGTATGTTAGTAATTAATGTAATTATTATTGTAATATTATATAATATTTACTTAAGGATCATTTTTTTTTCTTTTGTACTTTTTTCTCTGTGTCGTCCAAAAATTTAAGTCAAATGAAAATCGATCTCCGGCAGACGGACCCTCCATGCCGTAATTTTACTTTAAATTATATATTATGTAATGTTTATAACTTTTCTTTTTTGCAATAAAGTATTATTATTATATATGAATTTGAAAATAATATTAGTAAATTTGTTTTTCAGGGTTATTCCTGTCTTGATTTGCTTAACGGCGGAATGAGGCAAAGCGGAGTGTTCTACCTACAGATCAGAGGAACGACATACTGGTTTCTGAAAGTCTTCTGTGAGCAGGAAACGGCAGAAGGAGGATGGACTGTAAGTTTAATTATATCAACTTTTTTCATAGGGATTTGGAGTATCAATCCGTCTTTTTTTTAATTGATTGTTGTGCAGTCAAGACTTCAAGACTTAATTCACCTGGATTAGGCAATATCGTGTTTTTTCGTTACTAAGGTTTGCACAAACCATGATTTTAATCAATGATTGTTTATGTGTTGTGCCGAAAGATCAATTGATTAATTTCGTGATCGACTCGCCGTTGAATTGGATAGTCGATGTCCGTGAAGGAACAACTTTGAGATCATTCAATTTTGAAATTTATTTTTGAAGAAGTAAAAACAATAAAATAAACACTAGCCTCTAATTCCCACTTGATCTTAGGCAATAAATATGAAGTCGATGTTCATTACCATATCGTGCTACTTGTTTGGTTTTACTTTAATTAATTTTCCTGAAGGAAGTGGACCGTAGAGTTAAACTAACGGTGAACCGGCCAAAAAAAAGTTAATTTATTCGTGTAAAAATAATAAATGGCCGTGAAGATTGAACTGTTTCTAAATTAAAAACAAGTCTATGAACTGGCCTAATATTATCACAGAAACAACATTCGCATTTGATGATGGATTTAATCGTTGTTGAAATTAAAAAGCCATAAGAAATCAAACTCAAATGGTCAGTACTCTTGTAAACAGCTGAATTTCTACTTATCTTTCCTCTCTGAAAATACTACTTTAGTGGCAGTTTAGCGATCATTTTGGTCTGCCTATCCTCGCCGGTTTAATTTATCTGACGCGTTTCGGCATTTCACCATCTTCAGAATGTCTGGAACGCGTCTGACAGACCAACCCAGCGAAGATAGTCACACATGCAAAATAATGGGACAACCAATCTCACGATTCATGGAACTTTATCTAACACATTATGTTACGATTGTCCAAGCTTTTTAATACAATATAAAGAAGGATTTCCGTTACAATTTATACGTATTGTATACGTTTATATATATATATTTTTTTTGTTCAAGAGAAATTCAGCCAGGCTTTCTAAAAACCCTGCAGACTCACCATTATTGCATTTTGGAAACCTTTCAAGCTTAAGAACTATAACAATTGTTTAGTGCTAACATTGTTGCATCAATTTAATGAAGAACATTTAAAATAATACGTTAACCTATACGAGGGGTGTCGGTGTCCGCAACGGTTTAGGCGTTGACACGGCGCTCATCTCTGTAAGGTAAAGGTCCTGGGTTCGAATCCAGCGGCCCTGCATTCCAGCCCGACATACTTACAAATGGGTTTTTTTCAAAAACACCGGCACCCCGAGGGTTGATATAACCTCTGCTGTTGCGAACCCTAGTAAAAAAAATAATTAAAACAATAAAAAATCTTGTTATACACATACATAAACAGAAACGGTCGGTCGGACCGTATTTTCGATCGGAAGTCTTCATTAGTCCGGTAGGCAATTCGGTATACATTATTTCCTATTAAAGCAGTACAACTAGATGAAAAAACAAAATTCAAAAACGCACAAGAGCAAACAATGACTAAATTATTCAAAAAAGAATAATAAAGAAAAAAAAGATTTTACAAATCCATTATATTTTGTTAACGTGTTCGGCAAATCAGTTAACAGCCAGTTTTTTATATTAGTCTTGGGGGCGTCGGTGGCCGCAACGGTTTAGACGTTGACACGGCGCTCATCACTGTAAGGTAAAGGTCCTGGGTTCGAATCCAGCGGCCCTGCATTCCAGCCCGACATACTTACAAATGGGTTTTTTTCAAAAACACCGGCACCCCGAGGGTTGATATAACCTCTGCTGTTGCGAACCCTCGTAAAAAAAAAAAAGAAAAAAAAGTCTTGTTATACACATACATAAGCAGAAACGGTCGGTAGGACCGTATTTTTGATCGGAAGTCTTCATTAGTCCGGTAGGCAATTCGGTATACATTATTTCCTATTAAAGCAGTACAACTAGATGAAAAAAAATTCAAAAACGCACAAGCATTGACTAAATTATTCAAAAAATAATAATAAAGAAAAAAAGATTTTACAAATCAATTATATTTTGTTAATATGTTCGGCAAATCAGTTAAAAGGCAGTTTTTAATATTAGTCTTCGGGGCGTCGGTGGCCGCAACGGTTTAGACGTTGACACGGCGCTCATCACTGTAAGGTAAAGGTCCCGGGTTCGAATCCAGCGGCCCTGCATTCGAACCCGACATACTTACAAATGGGCTTTTTTTCAAAAACACCGGCACCCTGAGGGCATATGACCTCTGCTGTTGCGAACCCTCGTAAAAAAATAATTAATTAATCTTGTTATACACATACATAAACAGAAGCGGTCGGTTGGACGGTAGTTTCGATCGGAAGTTTTCATTAGTCCGGTAGGCTATTCGGTATACGTTATTTCCTATTAAAGCAGTACAAAAAGTGAAACTTGCCGGTCACCGTTCGATTAAACTCGGTTCAAATTAGCTCTGTAAATCCAGGAGGGACATAGTTTACTGCTAACGACGGCCGGTCTTTTCGGTTCAGCGGAGAAAAAGCCTGCTGTCTCATCGTATTTCGGGAATATAAAGCATCATAATTGCTGGTTTACAAGACCGTTTTTCAAATGAAAAATAATAAAAGTAATAAAAAAAACCCTATTACGATTATTAAAATACCTTTAATGTATATTATTTCAAATTGGTTTCATGATGTGTATGAATTAATGTTGAGTGTGTGTGCGTGCGTCCGTGTGTGTGTGTGTGTGTGTGCGTGTGTGTGTGTGTGTGTGTGTGTGTGTGTGTGCGTGCGCGCGTTAAATGCTTGTAAATATGGTTTAGTTCGGTTCTTTTCTTTCGTTTAAACCATGTGTGCGTTTTATGGATGTTACTGTTGTATATTTATTATCTAAGATTTGTTCTTAATTTGTTCTTCATTTTACAGTTTTGGCAATAAAGTTTCTTATTTTAAAAAGACTTCTTCGTACAATTACTTGATGTGTCAATGTGTAAAGGGACGTATTTGAAATTTTGAAGTTCAACTAACTGGGCCTGAGGTATCCTGTATAATTTTTTTACAAAAAATTTGAAACGACTAAAAAATGGATCTTCTTGAGGTCATTTTACAGATGAATAAAGTACATCACTATTGGGTTTCACCAAGCTTTCGGCGAATGTTCCGCTGTCATCAGGACCTAATTTATTAAAAATTTAATTTTAATTTTTTTTTAATAAATTAGGCCCTGATGATGGCGGAACGTATCTTCGAAAGCTTGGTGAAACCCAACAGTGATGTTCTTTATTCACCTGTAAAATGACTTCAAGAAGATCCAATAACATCAGTTTAAACTACGTAGGTCGATCAACGTCAACTAGAATTATAATGTTCAAACCATCAAATCACCCTTATTCGTTGGAGAACCGCTTATCCATAAGCCCAAGACAGTCACATCAACAATCTTTGTTAACCTCACCTCTGTGTGTATGTTCAAAAGTTGCAATTTATTGGAATTGTATGTTTGGAGGTGCACGTACCATTTCACGCCGACAAAGTTCTTGGATCAACGCTGTAAACAGCTCTCTTGACGAATATCCACCGTCAAGAGACGGTATGTCATTTACTGTTTGTAGAAATAGTTGTATAATCCTCGGAATCTTATCTCAAATCCATCTTAGTATATAATATCAGCATCACTGGGGGAATTGAAGCGGAACACTTCTCCCTAATTATTACCGTCGAGTGCTCAATCATTACCTTCGTAGAACGATTGCGCAAAGATTTCGGAGATATCTTGAAAATGTGCACAGGCCGTTCGTGCACAGCCTCTTACTTCCTTTTTTTTATTCGACCCGTTAATCCGGAAGGTGTAAAAAGGGATGGCTTGTGAGCTTTATACCAAATAACAATAATTACACCGCGATAGCAGTTTGCGTTCAGAAAAATCCCTCTGCCAATTACATTTAATAATCTATTATTTTATTTCCTGAGAAATCCTAATTTTGGCCTTCTGTTTAATACCCCCTATTTACGGATGAAACTAAATCGAGGGTATTTAGTTTTTATATATTTCTTAACATGCATTAATTAATACGTAATAATTTGTCACTTCCTTGAATTCGCTTTTCGATTTATCGAAATTTTTCAACTTAAGTTCCTGTTTCATAAAATACGTTTATATACATTGTGAGCCATTTAGTCGTCAGAACATAATTTAATTTTTCCTGACAAAGTGAAACGACGACCGGAAGTTAAGTTGCGAAAATGTTTTTCTAGCAAGTTAACCAACGTGAGAGGCCGGTCGTTTTCGGAATCGCCCATTGTTTAATACTTAAATTACTTAAAAATTACTTAAAACGAGCATTGTTGTAAAATTTGAGAAATGGTCAAAGTCAGGATTTCCGCACGGCGGCGTTCAACCGCTCCTGTCACGGTCGGCTCGCGACACACCGGCAGCGGGTCCGATTTGAAAATTGTCACTCCACAAATATCTTCACTTCTTGCAGAAAATCGTCGCTTTTAAACTATTGGGAATTTAGATTGAAAAACGGATTTTATTCGTGAAAGTTATACCAGCACCGACGTCCCAAGGACCAGCAACTCAGCAAAGTCAGGCGGGTCCATACATCCACATTTTTTTTTTCTTTTACAAAACCCTCTTCCACTTAAACATCTTTGCCTTTTGTCTGACAAGGGGACGACCCAGTTGTATGTCACGGATTTGACCCAAACTTTTTTTTTTTTTGTAGTTCTACACTCCAAAATATCGGACACGTATCCGCCACTTCTTGTGAATAGGCCCTGGTTCCGCTAAAAAAGATAATTAATAAATTTGAACTTTTCCGTTTTCTATAATACATATACTATATCATTTTTCAGCATTTTTAACGAAAATTGCAATAAAAATATAGTAAAGTTATCAAAGTGTATCAATAACCAAAAAATTTCTATAAAGCCAAATATTTTTCAAGTAAATTAGGTGATAAAAGTTTTTCCCCGTTAAAATAATATGAAATTTTGTTTTGCCACCTCTTGAAGATACCCCT